AACTAGGCCCACTGGCCAAATACAGCCTGCAGACCCTTTTTGTATGTATCACAAGCTAAGAATGGCTTTGTGCATTTCACAGAGATTGTGAAGAAGAAGGAGAAGGAGCAGGGAGAAGAGGAACAGAGGCCACACGTGGTCATCAAAGTCTAAAATATCTCCTAGCTGGCACTTTACCGAAAAAATTTGCAGACCCTTGGATTGCAGGCCCACCCCCTTCCATTAAGGGCACTGCAGAGACAAGGCCACCTGGACAACAGGGGCCTCATTTGTTTGGTTCACTGCTGGAAGCTCAGTGCCTGGGATCACGCCTGGCTCATGAAATCACACTGTAACGGTTAGTGCAATAAAGGAAGGAATAAATGCATGCATGGTGTGTAGGAAGCATGGTAATGTCTAACACCTATGTGAAGGAGGGATCAAAATAAGTTCTGTTTTAGATTCCACTGTACTTCCTTGATCTGCATGGTCAGCTGACTCTGCCTGGGACAGGCCCTCGGCGTGCTCTAATGGAGCCTGGGTGGGAGCTACGGTATGCAGGAGCAGGCAGTCTCAGCCCAGAAACTGAAAACAGCGGGAAATCCGAAAGTAAACACCTCGTCCCAGGGAGAGATTTGCTCTCCTGCCTGGCCTCCGAAGCAGCACTTCTCGAGCCTGCGGTGCACACAGATCCCCTGGCGATATTCGTAGGGTGCAGATTCTGAACCAGCCGGCCTGGGCTGGGTCCCAAGAATCTGCCTCTCCAACGAGGTCCCCTTTGCTGTGGCTGAGGCTAGTGGTCCCTGAGCCACACTTTGAGTTTAGCGAGGATGTCAAGCTCCCTTCCTCATGGACAGGGGCATCTCTTCAGACCTCGGCACGCTCCTAATTCCCTTTTTTCTGCCCTTCATGGGGCTCAGAGATATAGTAGGGGTACCCTGGATTCTGTAAGAGAATATTCTCAAGGGATCGTGACGTGAGAGACAAGCAGGATCCAGCAGTCCTGTAGCCCAGCAGCTAGGAGGCAGGTGGCAACTGGGGACGAATCCAAAGAGAAGGAGCATGGACCTGGCACAGTGCCACCTGCTACTAGCTTTGCTTTGCTTTGCTTTGCTGTGTCATAACTCCCTGTGGGCTCATCGGGCCCTAGGGTTCACTATGACAGGAGCCATCGTTGTACCAATACTGCTTGCAGAAGCGAAGGAAGGGCCAGTAGCAGCACCTGGGCTGAAGAAGACAAAGGAAGACTGTAGGAGCCCAGAGAAGAGGCTGGGAGATGGCCTGGGTGGGGTGCATGTGGCCTGGTAGCATCAGCCTGCAGCTCCAGGTAACATGTGGCACCCAGGACTTTTCATTCCCCAACAAGCACCATCCACAGTACTTGCAGAGGATAGAGAAGAATCTGCCTCCACATTAGGCTGGAGGTTCAGACTAAGTCAGGTCCATTGCAAAGGAAATGATGAAGCTGGCACGTGGCAGGCGCCTACAATCCCAGCTATTTGGGAGGATGGCTCGAGGACAGAAGTTGGAGTCTGCAGTGAGCTGTGATGGCACCACTGCACCCCAGCCTGGGTGACAGACTGAGACTTTGTCTCCTGAAGGAAAAAGAAAGGGAAGAAAACGATGGTTCTCCTGAGGCTAGAAATCTTGAGAACACCCAGGTAATATGCTGGGGCAAGTGGATCAGGCATCCCTAGTGTCCATTCCCTTCAAATCTCTCATGGTAACAGAACCCCCGATTTATAGCTGGGATGTGACTACTCAATGCAGAATCTGACTGCCTTGCACAGCCTCCCTTGCAGCTAGGCATGACCATGGGACCGAGATCCAGCCAGTGGAACACAAGTGAGAATGACACTGGCAACACTTAGGACATTCCTTTAAAGAAAAGGGTATGCCCCGTCCTTCCCCTGTGAGCATCTAAGGCCAGGCAAACACACACCTACGGATGGCATAGTGACAGGACAGAAGGAGCCTGGTTCCTGGCACTGCTGCCTAGCACTGGAATTGCATGAGAGCGAAATAAGTTTCCATCGTGTTTTAGCCACCATATCTTTGGGATTCTGTGTAAGTTAAAAATATGTATTCAATTCTGAGAATACTTGGAGCCTGAAAGGACATAAGTCATCATTTAAGGAAGGATGGGACCAAATTCTTACTGGTCATCTCAGTGCTTTACAGTCAGCCAATATTTATTAAGGACTAAGGATGCGGCACCATCCAAAACAGGAGAAACAAAACTCCTACTGTGGTAGAGCTAACGTTTAGTATTGTCTCACTTAGTCTTTATAACTCACGCTGTCAGGAAAGTGTTGTGGTTGTTTGTTTGTTTTTGTTTGTTTGTTAGAAAAGAAAACACAAATCGGTCACCCAGGCATAATGCAGAGCTGTCATCTGTGGCCCCAACCACTCAGACCTGGGCCTTCATGAATCCTCCGCTCACCCCCACTCGATAGCTGGACAGGCATGCTTTGCTGGTAGTTGGTTTTTTTTTTATCTTTTAGACATAGGTCTCTTTCTGTTGCCCAGGACAAACAAACACAACCTGGCCTCGCAACAAATCTTCTGTCTCGCCTCCCAAAGTGCTGGGAAATCACCAGATACCACTCCTCAGCTCAACTGCTTCTCTCATCTGAGGCATGAGGACCTTAAGGTTGAGGGATTTCGCTATTTGCATGGAGAGAGCAGAGCCCCGCAGCATTCTGTCAGCCTCTACCTCCACGCCTCAGCTAGAACTCCCGTAGGATTCCGCGGTTTCCAATCCTGCTCTGCACAGACTCTGTCAGGGACTGTCGTGGATGGGTGCTGGTAACCACGCGGGAAGTTAACGGGGAAGTTTTCCCATGAAGAAACCGAAAGCCAAGGTTACGCTAAGAGAGGGACGTGAGGCGACCATTCAGGTCGGGTGAGGGGCGAGCCATCAGGGAGAACCAACGGCTGCCGAGGCCACGGACAAAGTTGATCCAGAGGACGGCCCCGAAGACAAATGACCAAGCGGCCCATACCACTGTGACCCCCCAACCTCATCCCTCCCCTTCTCTGGGAGGAACACAGGGAAAGGGGCGGGCCCTGCGACCATCCCTCAGTTTGGGAACTGGGGTATCTCTCCCTAAGATTAGTAGTCAAAATTGTGAATTAGCTACAGGAAAATAAATAAAGGCCTATATGTGTGAAGTATTATCTGAGTGTGTGTGTGGAGATTCCGTCAGACCCACTCACACACAGACATTAATAGAAAGGCGATTAGAAATCGCAATAAAACGCTAGCTGGGCCCTCTGTGAGTCTCGTTTTCCAATGCCCTCTATATTTTCTGGATTTCCATATTTCCCATGAGTATCAATAACGAGAAAGAAAAAACTAATGTCCAAAGATGTTTTGGTGTTTATTACTTCTTTGGAAAAGAATCTTGAGCTATTTTGTAACACCAGGTGTTGGAGTCCAGAGTAATACATCCACGATTACAGAACTTATCATCGACCCTTTCCAGGCTGAGAACAAACCACTAGTTGTCCTGGTGGAGTTTCCCAAGCAGGGGGAGGAGTCCTTCGGGGGATAAATAAGCATCAGCCCTCGTGGACAGCCTGTGGACTCCAGGCGGCCGCTCTGCGCTCCACCAGCTACAGCCGCTGCCTGAGGCAGGTAACCCGTGACGCTTCACGCAGGGAGCAGACGGCCCTGTTTTCCCAGGAGAGTTCTAGGCTGTGTGGGGCAGGACGGGCCAGGAGCAGGTGCGCTCAGAGCTCTGGGCTGGGAGTCAGGGGCTGTCCTGGGTTGCCATGGATTCCACAGGCACTGCCACAATGGTGCCTCCTAAGCCAGTCCTCTCTCTATGTCTGAGTTTGCGTGCTTGCCAATGGTGGATGGCGGGGGTGCCATGGGGGCCAATAGGGTCATTTCTGCCTCTGACACTTTTGGATTCTGGTTCAGCTCAGCTGTGTCTCCAACTTCAGGGGGAAGAGGTGCTGTCCCGGGGCCTGGCTCGGGGCGCAGCTCTCAGACCACGCTGCTGATGACATTACTGCGGTGGGTCCCTCTGAGCAGAGGCAGCGGGGCCCACTGTGATTTGGGGTCTAAATGGGGCTACCTGGGCGGCTCCCTTCCCCAGCAAGGCGCCTGGCCCAGCAGACAGACAGCCTGCGCCTTTACCCAGTTACTGGAAAGACAGATGGCTCAGAGACAGAGCCAGTCCTACAACTTGCCAGGCAGAACGGACATGCCTTTTCCCCTGGTAATGATTTTGGAGAAAAATATTGTTCAGTGCCTTCCCAAGGAAATAGTTGCACCATCCTGAGAATAAACAAATAGTTGAGGTAACCAGGCTGCCTGTGCCCTGGGCTGTTGGAAGCCTTTGCATGGGGCTCCTCCTCCCCTATCTCCTCTTCTCCCCCTGTCCCCTCCCTCTCCTGTTTTCTCCTCCCCCTCTCATCCACCCTCCTCCCCCTGGCCCACCTGTCCTGCCCTGTCCTGTCCACTTGTGTCCTCTCCCTCCTCTTCCCCTCTTTTCCCTTCTTCTCTCCCCCTCTCACCTCCCCAACACCAGAGCTGCCCCTTTTCTCTGAATCCTGGGACTGAGGGGCGCAGACAGAGCAGAAGTCACCCTGCGTGCCTTCCCGACCCCATGAGGTGGCTTGAGCCCCTCCTCTTGCCAGGGTGGAAAGGCTAGTAAGTGCCCATGGGCGGGAGGAGAAAGACTTCTTACCCAGAAATTAAGATATAGAACAAAAGAAGTTTATCTTCTAAGAATTACAGAGAGGAGAGAGTCAAAGGGAGAGAGAGCAAGAGGGAGGAAGAGACAGAGAGCAGGGCACAGTGGGCGTCCCAAAGGAACAGAAGGGAGATGGCAGCAGCAAGCCCAAGTGGCTAGCTGATTTTAAGAGTGACAAAGAGAATAAACAGCATTTCAGTCAGTTGATAACCAAAAGGGCAACAGATAGATAACAAAAACTGCAAGGATTCCAAAGTCCAAGACCTGGTTTTCTGCCATCCTTAGAGAAAGGGTTATCACAGGACATGTGGTTGAGCCTGTAGCTCCTTATCATGCTGTTTACTTAGGAATTCTATGAAAGCAAATTCTCAAAAAAAGAAAAAAATTTAAAACAGAGATTTACATGTCTTTTCCATCTATTGGGCTCTTTTCAGAGGTGGTACACAACAAAACTCCTGCAGGGGCGATTACTGAGAGAACGGGTAGGACTGATCGTTATCCATCACTGGGGAAACAGTGGGAATAGCTACTGTCCTGCTGTTGTTACACAGCTGACCGTGCACTCTGGCTTGTGGGTTCAGGCACAGGAGGGGAGGGGAGGGTGGGAGGAGGTGACCCTCTGGAACACCTCCTAGGAGCCAGGCACCTTCATCACCTACCTCACCTGAGCCACTCAGCGTGTCCTGTTGAGATGGGCCCTGAGGCTCAGAGAGGTTCCGTCACCTGATTGCCACCACACTGTGACCATGTGTGGCCAAAATGAAATCCCAGTCCAGGGCTCAGAGACTCTGAAGCTCACTCTGCCTTCTCCCTACCACGAGAACCTTCCAGACTCACGGTGGAAGTGAAGACCTGCCCCCCTCTTTCAGGGCCATCTGAGCTCCAGGCACTGCACCAGCCACCTCTGTGCCCCCTCAGTTAACCCTAACTGCGACCAGACCTCACGTGGCCACACGTGTCATCTGGAGGCTGGGACAGGTGCTCTGGCCTCTGACTCAGGCCAGGACTCCTTCCCTGGGTTCTGCTTCAGGAGAAGGGTGTAGGGGAAGAGGAGGCCTGTTTTCTATCCCCCTGAATAAGGTGTGCTCAGCACTTGGCAGTGGAGGATTAGAAGGAGGAGGAATAGGAGGAGGAGGAGGAGTAAGAGGAGGAGGAGGAGGAGGAGTGGGAGGAGGACAAGGTCTGGTTGGACACAACCTCATCCCCGTCATCAGCTTCCAGCCCTAGGAGCCAGGCAAACCTGGCTGCCCACCCGGTTCCTGCACTTGTCCGCTGTGAGGCCTTGAGCAAGCCCCGTCACCTCTCTGTGCCCAGTTCTCCCAGTGTGAAAAGAGGCAACAATTACAGTACGTACCGCAAAGGGTGGAAGCGAGCAGGAACGTAACCGTGTGTGCTGGGTGCCAGGGAAGCCGCTGCCCGGAGGGGCCCTGGGAGCCCGAGAGAGCAGCTCACAGGGACCCAACGCTGGCCGGTGGGACGCAGCGGGAGGGGGACGGAGCACCAGCTGGCCCTCTGAGACTTAACGGTTCTTGTCTTTTCAGAGTGGAGAGTGCAGAAAATGTTTCCCCTCCTGGCTCTGGGGCTCTTGGTGGCCGGGATCTGCCCTGCTGTCCTCTGCCACCCGGGCGGCCCCCGTGACCAGGAGAGTGTGACCCTGGGGGACCACGACAATGGGACGAGAGGGGACAGTCTCCGATTAGGCTCTAGCGACACCGACTTTGCCTTCGGCCTCTACAAGCAGTTGGCTTTGCAGAACCCTAATGAGAACGTCATCTTCTCCCCGCTGAGCGTCTCTGCAGCCTTGGCCTTCCTGTCCCTGGGGGCCGGTGGCACCACCCTGACGGAGCTTCTCCAAGGCCTCAAGTTCAACCTCACGGAGACCTCAGAGGCGGAAATTCACCAGAGTTTCCAGCAGCTCCTGCGCAGCCTCAGCCGGCCCAGCGAGCAGCTGCAGCTGAGCACGGGCAACGCCATGTTCATCGCGGAGCAGCTGCGTCTGCGGGAGAGGTTCGTGGAGGACGCCCGGGGGCTGTACGCCTCCAAGGCCTTCAAAACCAACTTCCAGGACTCTGCCGCTGCCGAGAAGTTCATCAATGACTACGTGGAGAAGAAAACCCGGGGGAAAATCGTAGATCTGGTCAAGGACCTTGACCCGAGCACGATGATGGTGCTGGTGAACTACATCTTCTTTAAAGGTGAGTGTCCGGCGTGAGGTTCAGAAGGAAATGGACATGTGGTTCCGAGTCTCTGGGCTATTTCTGCCCCGGGTCAGTGTTACTAGGCAACCCACTGCGGAGGAAGGTGCCCACGGCTTGGGGGTGGGGGCACCAACACCCCGCCCTGCCCACAGGCATCGTGTTCTCCCGTGGGGGTTTCCAAGCTACAGTCTGTCGTCCCAGGACATGAGTTCAGGGGAGCCCGCTGGCCCTGGGTGTGAGTCAGTGCGTTGCTTTTCATTCAGATTTAAACTTGCCCAGCAAGCAGGAGGCAGGAGCTCCCCTTTCAGATCACTCCCAGGTTGGGCTGTGTTTCATGTTTACTGTAGCTGGAGGCAGTTTCATGGAGTTTCACCTTTGCAAGGGTAAAAGTCTGGCGGGCTCCAGAGTCAGAGTGCCTGGGAGTGAGGCCCTGGAGTTAAGCCCGGGAGTGAGGCCGGGCCAAGCCAACGCAGAACCCAGGGCAAGTCTGAGCTGGATGTTCGCAGGCCATAGAGCTGGGCGTGACCCGCCACGAACTGAGGACTCACAGCCAGCACCTCTGAGTCCATGGCTTTTGGGATGTCCCATACTCCCACCTTCCAGATGTCACAAGTGCACACGGTCACTCTGGCTCCAGGTTCTGCCTGCCATTAGGGACCTCCCTGTCCCTCACATCATTCACATAGATGGGCACTTCCTTCTGTCTGCACCTCGAAACTCACATGTACAACCCTCTTTCCTCCCATGTCCACCCAAACCACCCCCACAAGCCACGTATAGTCACATCCCTGCTATGCTACTGACCAACTATTGCTTGCAACACATTGTTACTCTCAAGGAACCAGGGTGGCCCATGTCTTCCCAGGCTCTGGCTTCCCACCATCCCCACGCCTCTTCCCTGCTCTCCTACTGCTCTGTCTCTCCCACTCCCAATCCCAGACTCCTGTTCGTTCCTCATTCAGCACAAGTTTCCAGGCTGTGGTTTCAGGGTCCCCTTTCCGGTCCAGCCACAGGCGCTCCCTCATCCCCAGGACTTTCCCACTTCCCACGTGTTCACCCTAACATTTTCCAAACCAAGGCCGGCCGCCCCACTGGGGAGCCAGGCGTCGTGGGGGTCGAGGCAGGGCCACCCTGGCACTCACACGGTTCTCCCACTCCTGGCTCCACCTCTAGCCAAGTGGAAGACGCCCTTTGACCCCCACGACACTGTCAAGGCAAGATTCTACCTGAGCAGGAGGAAGTGGGTGAAGGTGCCCATGATGAGCATGGAGGACCTGGACGTGCCCTACTTCCGGGACGAGGAGCTGTCCTGCGCGGTCGCGGAGCTGATGTACACGGGCAACGCCAGCGCGCTCCTCGTCCTCCCTGACCTGGGCAAGATGAAGCAGGTGGAAGCCAAGCTGCTCCCGGAGACGTTGAGGAGGTGGAGAGACTCGCTGCAGACCAGGTGATCGTCCCGGGCCCGGCGCTGTGGCTACCTGCTGAGTGGGGTGTGGTGTCCCTGGTCTGCCCTTGTCCTTACTGGGTGACTGAAAAATCCAGTGGGGAAGGGGACGTGGAAGGCACTTGAATATGTAAACCACAAAGGGAGAGGGACCTGCTGGGACCCTGACCTGAGGCTGCAGCCCCTGCCCCAACCCCGTGCGACTCTCAGCCCTTCTCACTCCAGATCCCAGGGCCCCTTTGCAGACGCTTCATTCCTGCAGCCCCGTACGGCTGCCACGGAGCAGGGGCTCCACACGCAGTTTTGCACGGAACGTGCATCCTCCAAACCCCCTTGACTTTCCAAACACTGAGGAATTGTGTGTCTGCACAGGCATGGCTCACGGTGGTGCTCAGTAAACACTCGTTGAAGGAATGATTGAATGAATGAGTGAGCGAATCAATATGCAGAGTAAGAGGGCGCCTGCCCTCCTTACATGGGATTCAAAGTTTCATGAGCGACACAGCCTCTCCATGGAGCTGTCCGACCAGGCAGACAGTGACAAGAGTCTTAACGGGGAGACAAGCGAAGGGAGAGGGAAATCACGGGGTGAGGTGACCCCTCCGGCCCGAGATCTTGCTACCTGCCCTGTGCCCAGCCTGCACTGGCTCGGGGACAGCGCCCATGCAGAGCTCACTGGGAGGCAAGGTAGGGACCTCCAGTTGATCATTTCAGGATCCCAAAAGCCCTTCTGGTACAATCAGTCTCCTTGGCAACCCCAGCCTCTCATGACCCACCTTGGCCCCTGCCCAGCCTCCCCCCTGCCCCTCTCCTCCCCCACACCAAGGCCGCCCTCCACTCCACGGGGCAGCTCCTCTTGCTCCCCACCTTCCTGCGTGTTCCTCCACCTGTCTCCTGCCTCCCCTTACCCTCCTTCCTCTCCCTTGGGACACAGCCTCAATATCGCCTCCTACAGGAAGCCCTCCTGGTGCCCTCCTATCTCTCACTTTGCTTCTTGGCCCTATTGGTGTGAGGGTGCTGCATGCTGTGTTGGGGGTGGGGCTAGGCTCAGACAGTGGCGAGACTCCGGGCCTGGCACGTTGCCTGGCACCTTTAACACTTGCAGATGCAAATAGGTCATTAATGAATTAAGAAGCATAAATGCTAGGGGTTAAGAAACTGAAGAAAGGATTACTTATTTCCAGAGAAAACTATGTACCAAGGTAGGAAAAAGTGGGCACCAAGCCAGCAGAGGTTCAAATACTTTTTTTCTCATTACCTAGGCATATAGATAGCCTCCAGCTGCCGAAGTTTTCCATCTCAGGGGACTATAATCTGGAAAACATCCTTCCCCGGCTGGGCATTAGGGCTGTCTTCACCAAGGAAGCCGACCTGTCAGGGATCACAGGGGCCAAGAACCTCGTGCTCTCCCAGGTGAGTCTTTGGACTTTGGGCGACTTGTGCTCCGTACCTGAATTTGAGTGGCCCGATGGATGTTTGGGTAATCTTGAATGTGTGTAGATATGTACGTTTCTCATCATGGATCCTCCTCCTTGGGACTCCTCCAAGTCCAGGAGAGCTGGGGTACACTTATGGGCTGGTCGCCACCTCCCCTGCCACATACTGTGACCTAGCAATCTGACATTAGGAAGAATCAGACAGCCATGGACACACTCCCATGGTTCCCTGTGTAGTGTCTGTAGGACGAACAATGAAAGTCCTCCACCCTCAGTTTTTTATCTTTCATATGCGGTGATATTTCTTTGCTTGTATGCAGTGCCTGGCGGGGCAGGTAATGATAACAGGTAATAGAAATGGTTATGTGGGATTGTGATGGAAATACACTCAGGGTATAAGAGAAGACCACTTGGGCCCCGGATTGCGTTTCTAAAGGAGAGTTGTCAGAGCAAAGGGGGTCGGCTGGGCTGCCCTCTGCTGTCCCCAGTACGTGTGCCCAGGCAGAGCACTGCGCTGGGGTCTGCCAACCGCCTCCCAGGAGCAGGGGATGGGGCTGTGCACAGGAGCAGATCCGAGTAGTCCCAAAAGCAAAGCCATGCAAAGCAGTTGAGAGCCCCAAGGCTGTGTGAGCTGGGGCAGGAGTGCTGGCCCTGCCAGGGGGCGTGTGCGGCAGCTGTTTTGTGGTCGAGAGGCTGCCAGGAATTAGCTTGCAAGAAAAATGGCTTCGGTGCCCTTGCCCCGCCTCCCGACAGGAGTGGGTGTTTTGGGGGGCAATGAGGGCTCTGCACTCAGACAGAGAGGGACCCAGAGCAGGCCCCCCACTCTTCACCTGTACGGCTCTGGACAGGTCCCACGCGCTGTCTGAGCCTCCATTTGCGCACCTGGCACTGCGGCTGTGCGAAACTAGCCGGCAGGGCTGTGCAGAGGAGCAAGCACATTTCACAGCGTGGGACGTGCCCGCGGCGGACGCTGGATAGATGTCAGTCCCCTAGCGGCACACGGGCCGGCTGCCGCCCCTCCCACTCGTGTCTGAGCACCGCTGTCTGTCCCCTTAGATGGTCCACAAGGCCGCACTGGATGTAGCTGAGGTGGGCACGGAAGCAGCTGCTGCCACAGGAATCAAGATTATACCCATGTCTGGAAGAATGGGCCCGATGTTCACTCTGAAATTCAGCCGCCCCTTTCTGGTGATCATCCAAGACAAGGCATTGCAAGGCATCCTCTTTATGGCCAAAGTCACAGAGTTGAAGGAAGCCTAGAGCTCCCTTCCAAGCAGCGCGGGTCCGCTAAGGTGCCGGGAACAGAAGCCGGGTGCTGGATGTCTGGGCACAGCCTGGCTCTGTCTGCTCATCTTGGGAAGGTGCCAGTGACGGCCCGTGTGGCTCCCACAGGCACAGGGGGCTCCTGACAGCAATAAACCATCTTCCCTGTACTGGACACTTTCCTTGTGCCTTTCTGTGCTGACTGCCTGACTCTGCATCCCCAAGGATGCTTGTGCCCAAAGCCAAGCCTCCTGACTCCCACGCAAGCTCAGTCCCACCCCAGGCTCTCTGCCCCTCTGTCTTCAGCTGCAGCCTCCTGGCCAGGAACCCCTAAGCTTCCAGCCAAGCTTACCTGGAACCCAGGCCCTCACTGGAGGGGACCCTGCTGTCCTAAGGCTGATTCCTATCTCCAGGGGGCCACCGATGCCCGGGTCCAGTTTTCCTCTTTCCCTCCCCCAGGGCCCAGGCTCTGCCCACCTAGTGAGTCTCACTGGGGCTCCAGACCCTGACCACAAACTCAGTCCCTGGACCCCTCACTCCTGCAGCTGAGCAGGGCTTTATGGTGGGCTCTCTCCTTTCCGTCCCCACCACCCAATATGTGTGGAGTAGCCACATTTTGGGTTCTGAGACTGAGCTCCTCAACTGCCTCACCAGGTGCTCACCCTGATGGACAATCTCCCTGGGTATCCAGCATGCGGGCTGAACACACACGAGCATCAAATGCAGGGCGGTAGCGAGCACGGCCCTGCAGCCATTCATTTACCCGATGGCATCGGAGACCGTGGTGTCTCTAGGGAAGACAAAGACAATGATAGGGCTGACAACAACTGAATAGTTGAGATTTATGCCACACAGTCTGCTAAGATCTCTCCCTGAAATAACCCCTTTAATCCCTGTGATGACCCCATGAGATAGACGCTATCAGTGGTCTCATTTTGTAGATGAGGAAACTAAGGCACGAAGAGGCTTAGCAATTTTCTGAAGGCCACAGAGCTAGTAATTATTGCCAGCAGCTGTTTTCCCAACACGCCTGCCACCCAAGGAGCCACAAAGTGGCTAAACCACAAAGTGATTCCACACCTGTCCACAGTGTCCCTTTAGGATACAGACAATCTAATGGGCAAGTAGATGATGAAACAAGGCTTGCGGGCTGAGAGGACATCATCAAAGTCAGTCTGGGGAGTCAGGGAAGACTTCTTGGAGGCGGTGACTTCTGTGCTGAGAGCAGAGTATGAATAGAAGGTGGTCAGGTGAACAGAGAGGAGAACTTTCACGCAGGCGAAAGAGTAAGGGTGGCATTTTCTGGAAACTGAAAGAAGTTGAGTAGCTCTGGGGCAGGAAGCAGAAGGGCTGGGAGGAGGAAGAGACAGGACCGCTGCCAAAGACTGCAGAGTGCCTCCTTGGGGCCACAGGGGCTTTAAAGGCATCTTTACAGCGAGGAGACACAAGCAGACCTGCCCACGGGAAAACACACTCTGGCTGCTGAGTAGGGGAGCGGTGATGCGGGGCCCAGGACAGGGATGGGCGCCAGACATCCGGGGCTGTTGCTGCAACTGGGGCGAGAGCGAGTCCCAGCTGGGCGGGAGCGCAGGCGGCTCTGCCCCAGGCTGTGAGAAGCCTGCACGGGCTGCGGTTGGACGTGGGGCCTGTGCCGCTGGCTGATGGCCACACATCCTCTGAGACGGGAGGAGGAGGGTGAGCGTCGTGGCGTGAGAAGAGAGGATTCCTCCGTGGAAGGATCGCTAAGACGGGGCAGCCCGCGGAGGACAGTGACCGGTGCTGGGGAGGAGGCGGGAGGACAGGAAGAAAGCTGTCCCCAGGCCCCAGAGGAGAGGTTTACCAGGGGATGGGGGATGGCCCAGAGACAGGGTGAATAGGTGCAATCATGGGATTCAATGACCCACTCGGGCTGGGCACATGCCATGGCCGCAGGGCTGAGGGGAGGCCGCAGAGGGCTTGCGAGTGAGCAGAGGAGGAGGAGGAGAGAGAGCAGGAGAGAGCCCAGGTGCACTCTTAGATGAAGCATTTGAGGGGAGGAAAGCCAGGGCCGTGGGCAGTGAGCGCTATGCTGGAGTCAGCTCCATGCTTGGCAGAGGCTAAAGCCTTGAGCAAGCTTTCAGAACCACAGAAATGATCCGGGAGACGGGTGGCCAGCCTCCAGGGCCACAGGGGGGCACAACTCCTAAGGGACAATCAATATGGGCGGTTTGGCACCTCGCCAGCCTGGAGCTGCACAATGAGCAGCCAGCAGGGCATCAAGAAGTGTCCAGAGAGAGCAGAGCCCCTGGGCAGAGGCAGGGAGGGCAGGGTCAAAGGCCAAGGCTCTCAATGGGACAGGAATGCCAAAGGCAGAGGGTGGGGGTGGGGTGCCTGGCCAGGGGCAGAGGAAGGAAGGAGCATCTATCTTAGCAGGATGCTGTGGAGCCTACTTCCCCAATGATTTTGGTGATTTCTGGAGTAGAAGAGACATTTCCCTGGATTTAGGGTGGGGGAAGATATACAATGGGACAGGGAGGGGACCAGGACGTCAGGGCACATCTTCCAGGCCCAGCGATGGACCCCTTGGTGGCCCAATGCTAGGAATTGCTGGTGGCTCCAGCTTCAGGGCTGTGAGTTTTCTTTCTCTATCCTCGCCAGCCCCCTTTTGGGATTCTAGAAGGTCAACTGCTGGGCAGGAGGTCAGGATTAAGGAGGGGCCGAGGATCCAGACCACGCGGGGACTGAAATCGTGGGCCTCAGGCTTGGTGCTGGGAGGAACAGACCAGGGCAGAGGGAGCTGAGCCCCAGGGAGGGCAGAGGGCAAGGGACGGGGGTACCAGGAGGTCCGAGAACAGCCCATTGGAAATGTCCATGTGAAAGACTACTCTTTCCCACAAATAGGGGTTTTCCACATGGACCCTCAGTTTTCTTGTCTCTAAAGTGGGAACAATGATGGTCTGTACTTGTGTGCACATGCATGTAATAAGTCAGGCTGGCATGTGTATATGTGTGTGCACATGTGTGAGAAGTCAGGCCGGCAGGTGCATATGTGTGTTCAGGTGTGTAAGAAGTCAGGCGTCACTGAAACACTTGCTCCTGGGTCTCTGAAACTTGGATGTGACAACCGCTCTGATGGGTGGTGTACAGGTTGCCCAACGGGCCCGGGAACCAACCCCAGACTAGGAGAGTCCAGTTGGACCTCCTAGAAGTTCTCAAATGCTAAGTCCTGTGCAGTAGAGGAGACACCAGGGAGATGTGCTGGCAGGATATAAGAAAGGGCGCAGTGTATTCATTGGGCAAGAAGAAGATCCTGTGGTCTGGATCACCAAGTTTGAGAAAACCATGGTCATCTGTGGAGCTAAAGAGAACAATATGAACAAGAGCATGAACAGGACCACGTAAACCATGTTGGGGATCTTAGAGTCTATTCAAAGGGTGGTGAGCAACAGTGCAATATTATAAGCAGGGAAGTGCATTGGTTAGGTTCTCCTTTAGAAAGATCACCCTGGCTGAGGAGGGGAGGAGGGATGGGAGTGAATTGCAGATTTGGTGGGAAGAAGAGAAGCAGAATGACCAGGCATTTTCACCTCAGTTAGGAATTGGGCAAGGACTCAGAGGAAAGGTAGCTGATCAGAGATATTTGCCAGGTAGAACTAATAAGACCTCATGGCCAATTGTGGGAGGGACAGGAAGGAGTGGAGGATGACACCCAGGTTCCCGGGAGCTTGGGAAAGTGAAATTCACGCGCTATCCTATGAGCTAAGGATTACAGAATGGATAGCATTTTGTGCAGGAAGAAGGCGAGTTCCGGTTTGGACCTGTGGAGTCCTGGATGCCCGTAGGCCACCTGAGAAGAGCAGTCTACGAATAATGGGTCTTCGGAGCTGACGTCCGATAGGGGAGTGTGGACTGGAGGGATGGATTTCTGGATGTCTTCTTGTCCAAAAGGGAAGAAGCTCCGTCCGATGGCTCCCACCGTCTCCTGTGCTGCAGAAAGAGATATTGTCTGCTGGGGACCCTTCATGCGGGAGAGAAAAACCCAGAAGTCTGGGGATGGGGACAAAAAGAAACCTCAGGAAGCTTCCAGCAGGCACTATCAAGGGTCCTTTGGGGGTGGAGATGACAGTGCCACCACCTGTGCAGGGGTACGGTTTCCAGGGGCACTCTGCAGTCCAGACATACACAGAAAGGAGGCAGACTGCAAGGAGCCCCTGTATTCAAACTTTCCCCTGGCTACAAGATGTGGGGACCACGAGTGGCTGACACAAGAGAAAAGGAGCATATTTGAAAGTGCTGCCCGGAGAGCCACTGAAATGTTGGGACCCTTATCTTCCAGGCGGGGCCATCAGGAGCCTTAACAGGTGCAAGAAGTGACCAGAAACAAGGCAGTACTTTGAGGCTGAAGACATGAAAGGTTTCATATATTGCTAAAAGGGTTCCACTTGCTCCACATGCATTTTATGCAGATTTGCCAGTGGGGAAATGGAAGAGAAAAGTGAGGACAGATTCCATGCGGGTTGCTGTCCTCTCTCCTCCCTCATAGCAGAGCCCTGGCTCCTCCACACAGCTGCGCATGGGGACTTAGGAGTGAGGGGACCCTCAGAGCTCAGTCCTTATCTTGGTTTGACACTTCACAGCTACACAACTTTGGCCAACTTAGCTGACGTCGCTGTCACTGCCTGAGCACTTGAGTGATCCCAGAGCACGATCAGATAGGTTACTGCTATTCCACTAATAATGACAATGCATGTCAGAGACCTGGCTGGGGTCCATGACCCCCGCTCCACCCCCTCCCCCGTCTGCCACACCAGAAATGTGTCGATATATCTAAATTCATGGTGCCCTGTTGTCCCCACACGTGCCACATAAGGCTATGATTAACCACTTCGGTACGGCGCTCACCAGCCGCGAAACCGTGCCCACAGCCGGCACTCACAGTCCGCACGGCAGTCTGTGCTGAGCATTGACGACGCATCCGCTTTGCTCTTGTGTGATGAGGAAAGCTTGAAGCACTGAAAGCTTGTTTTACTTTACAGGCAGCTTTGCTTGTCATGTAAATCAGAATAGGTAACATATACATGTATGTTTTCACTACATTATTTTTAAATGTTCACAATTTTATTTTGATAAATGAAAAATTAGAAAAGTCATATCATGGCTGTCGGCCAAATTCGCTGTGCGCGTTCATCTGTGGCT